AATAATAATAATAATAATAATAATAATAATAATAATAATAATAATAATATATACCTTCCAAAATATTCTTTAAGTTATACAAATTAAAGTTATATTGATGTCAAGATAAATTAATTGGTATAATTTCGTTAATTTAAAAATTTCATTAAATACATATTTCAATTCCTCCTATATAAACTAGGTGCAGAGGTTTCGGAAGAAGCTTACAATTTGGATTTCTTTAAGCCGGTTTGACCGTAAGAATGAAATTTGGGTGGAAAAAAACGAATTGCAGTGCGTTGAATTGTCTAAAACTTGTTTTTTTCTAAAAATTATCAATTAAATGTATTTGATTAGTATAAACTTCCACTTGAAAAATGTCAAAATTTTCTATCTTTTGGTGTACGTTTGGCTTTGTTTTCATAAAAATTGTCAATTAAAGGGATATAATTTATTAAAATTGGGGATAAAATTGTTCCAATTACCAAAAAAATAAAATAAAACCAAAACCAAAGGAAAACTAATTCCTTAAAAAGCTGGAAAAAGGGGTCACGTGGGGTTGAATGAAAAACCAATTCCATAGATAATTTTGTCCATCAAACATACCCTTTGAGTGGAAAAATGAATTCCATGAAAAATGGAGCTTCTCAAATAGGCCCTAAAGGTAGTTTTTTTTCTTTAAATTATTTTCTTAGTCAAAACACCTTTGATTTTAACGAAACACCCATTATTTTAATCAAAATAACTTTTGTCGTTCAAGAAGTACTTTTGAACTTTGTACAAGTGCTTCCAAACAACAACGGTAGTCTTGCAATCAAGGTCCTTTCTTACTTCGGATATTACATTTTAGAGATTTCAAGAGAAAAAAAAAAAGGAAAAAAAAAAAGGCGGAGAATGAAGGTGCACCATACAAATGAAGTAGACAAGACTTAACAAGATTAAAAAGAGAGACGTTGCTATACAGACTTATAATCAGGTGAGAAGAAATACAGTTGAGAGCTAAAAATTAATAAGATAGCAATCAAAATAGAAAGTTTCCCAGCTCCACGGTCCCATGCAATTAATAAGTGGTGGTAGCTTAAATAGTAAACTAGATACTAACTTAAAAATTATTTTCTAAAAGTTATTGATATTTTGAAAATTTATCGAGTAAATTTGAGTTACTTTTTCTTCCTTTGCCTAAACAAAACTACCATTATTACACTAGATCAAACTTGATCTAAAAAATCGGTACGGACTTCTTATCAACAAATCTAGTACCATGTTTCTACCTATACGTACATCTGTATGTTATTTGCTCGCTCGAAAAAATTGTTAGACGTCAAGATCATTGTACCAAGAAAAATGACATGCAACCATTGACACTCTGACGATCAAGTCAGCTGTTGGTACAAGTAATAAATAAAAAAGAATGGATGTGAGATAGACAAACAAAACTTTGGCTGGAGGTTAAGTATATGGATACCTTTACCCGTATATAGGGACGAAATCCATTTGGAATTAGGTTAGGATGTCTGAACCCTAATTCCAATTGAGGGAATTACATAAAACCAGGCATTTAAAAGTTCAAATTCAAAGTTCAGGGATGAAATTTATCTATGCAAACATCAGGTATTATATATAGTTAATTCAACCAACTCAATTAAAAACCCTAATCAATTCCCCAAATCAATCTCTTCACTTCTTTCCTCATTCATTTCTCTCCATTTCTCTCTCCACTTGACCACAACTCCAGCGTCGTCGCCCACCGTCGGAGACTGCCACTTGCAGCACGCCGATGAGTGCCGTCGAGCGAAGCAGATGCGGCACACATCTCCCTTACCCCAAAACCCTAATCAATTCCCACTATTCATATTTCTCCAAAACCATCGCCTCACTCCTTCTCTCTCCACAGTCTACACAATCATCACCTTCGGCAGTCTTGTCCTCACCTTTCTGTCGTCGTCGCCGCCCATTGTTTTCGCCCACCCCATCATCCACTCCCAGTCCATTTCACCTTAGAGGGAGCGCCGATAAGAAGAAACGGGAATCACAGTGAGTTTTGTGGCTATGAAATGAGCAGTATTTTGCGAAGCAGATTCGCCGCGACGATGAAATGGCATTTGCGAAGCAGATCCACCCACTTACCTCGGCGACTCTTCACAGATCCGTCGTGGCGGTGAAATGAACAGTGTTTGTGTTGTGGCGATTTTGTCATGGTGTCTGTGGTGTTTTTGTGTGGTGGTGGGCCTGGCGATTTGGGTGGGTAACAACTTTGCATTGTGTTTGTATGGTGGTGGTGAGGGTGATTGTGTGGTGGCGATTTTGTGGTGGTTGATCA